ATTTGATGCATTGAACACCAATGACCGAAAATCAGAAGAATTGTGGAATGGCATCAAGAACATCATCCACGAAGCAAGCCAGGTTCACTAAAAAGACAGGAAAGGAAGAAAAGACCAAAATGGATGTCAGAAGAGACTCTGAAACTTGTCCTTGAACAGAGAGTAGCTAAAGCAAGTGAAAGAAATGACAAGATAAAAGAGCTGAACAGAAGATTTCAAAGAGCAGCGAGCAGAGAAAGCCAATTACTATAATGAAATGTGCGAAGACCTGGAGTTAGAAAACAAAAGGGAAGAACATGCTCAGCATTTCTCAAGCTGAAAGAACTGAGGAAAAAATGTAAGCCTCAAGTTGCAATATTAGAAGATTCTATGGGCAAAATATTGAATTATGCAGGAAGCATCAAAAGAAGATGGAAGGAATACAGAGTCACTGTACCAAAAAGACCTGGTTGATCTTCATCCATTTAAGGAAGTGGCATATGATCAAGAACCAATGGTACTGAAGGGAGAAGTCAAAGCTGCACTGAAGGAATTGGCAAAGAACAAGGTCCAGGAGTTGGTGGAATATCCACTGAGATGTTTCAACAAACAGATGCCCCCCTGGAGGCATTCATTCGGCTATGCCAACAGATTTGGAAGACAGCTACGTGGCCAACTGACTGGAAGAGATCCATATTTGTATCCATTCCAAAGAAAGGTGATCCCACAGAATATGGAAATTATTGAATGATATTATTAATATTGCATGTAAGTAAAATCTTACTGAAGATAATTCAAAAATGATTGCAGCAGTATATTGACAAAGAACTTCCAGAAATGCAAGCTGGATTCAGAAGAGAATGTGGAATGAGGGGTATCATTGCTGATGTCATATGGATCTTGGCTCAAAGCAAAGAATACCAGAAAAATGCTTATTTGTGTTTTATTGACTATGCAAAAGCATTTCATTGTGTGGATCATAACAAATTATGGATAACATTGAAAAGAATGGGAATTCCAGAACACTTAATTATACTCACGAGGAACCTGTACATAGACCAGGAGGCTGTCATTCAAACAGAACAAGGGAACACTGCAAGGTTTAAAATCAAGAAGGGAGTTTATCAGGGTTGTATCCTTTCACCATACTTATTCAATCTGTATGCTGAGCAAATAATCTGAGAAGCTGGACTACATGAAAAAGAGCATGGCATCAGGATTAGAGAAAGACTCATTAACAACCTGTGATACGCTGACAACACAACTTTGCTTGCTGAAAGTGAGGATGACTTGAAGCACTTACTGATGAAGGAAGCACTTACTGATGAAGTAAGCACTTACTGATGAAGCACTTACTGATGCAGTATGGATTACACCTCAATATAAAGAAAACAAAAATCCTCATAACTGGATCAATAAGCAGCATCACGATAAATGGAGAAAAGATTGAGGTTGTCAAAGACTTCATATTACTTGGTTCTACAATCAAACCAATGAAATCAGTAGTCAAGATATCAGACAACATATAGCACTGGGCAAATCTGCTGCAAAAGACCTCTTTCTAGTGCTGAAGAGCAAAGACATCTCCTTGAAGACTAAGGTGTGCCTGACACAAGCCATGGTAGTTTTCAGTTGCCTCAAATACATGTGAAAGCTGCACAATGAATAAGGAAGACTGAAGAAGAGTCGATGCTTTTGAGTTGTGGTATTGGTGAAGAATGCTACAAGTACTATGGACTGCTAAAATAACTAATAAATCTGTCCTGGAAGAAGTGTAGTTGGAATACTCCTTGAAAGCAAGGATGGCCAGAGTTCCTCTCACCTACTTTGGTCATGTTTTAAGAAGGGACCATTCCCGAGAGAAGGATATCATGCTTAGTAAAGTGGAGAGTCAACAAAAAAAGGGGAAGGCCCTCAGCAAGGTGGACTGACACAGTGGCTACAATGGGCTCAGGTATAGCAAGGACTGTGGGGCTGGTGCAGTACCAGGAAGTGTTTCATTCTGCTGTACATAGGGTTGAAATGAGTTGGAGATGACTCGATGGCAACTAACAAAAAGAAGAAGGGAAAGATTTTTCTTCTAAATTCAATTCTGGGGTCATCATCTTTCCCCACCTTCTCTAACCCTAACACAATCTCCTACCTATTTAGAGGGGATTTGTGGATTTAATTTCTATTGAGTTTAAGCAAATCACACTGTTTATCTGGCTGGGGACAGAAAAATCCAGTTCCCTCCCTTTCTTGGCCAGCAGTCCTTCCCTACATCCTGATCTAGGAGGAGGGTTGCTTTTGTGTACATGCTCTCACCCAGGCCTCTGTCTGTGGAGGAGGGGTCTTTCCTGTCGGGTCACTAGAGTTCTGGCTTCTGCCCCTACAACGCTGCCAAGGATCCCAAAGCCTCCTGATTAGTCAATCCTGCCTAGGGTCCTGGGCAAAGCCATCTCATGGGTCAGCACCATCTGGGTGCCCACCCTCTACTCTCTTCTCTGCACTTATTTTCTGTTGTTGCTTTAGAAGACGATTTCCTAAAGTGACACAGAATGAAGTTTATTTGGTATTTGGGCTGTACTCTAGCCCATTCCCCCTATTTTTTTTTTTTAGAAAATCATATTTTATACAAATCCACCCTCCCATTTAGGGTCACCCAATCTTGTGTACAATCTCTGGTGGTGCAGTGGTCAAAGCATTTGGCTGCTAACCAAAAAGTTGGTGATTCAAACTTACCAGCAGATCAGCAAGAGAAAGATGAGGCAGTCTGCTTTCGTAAAGATTTACAGCCTTGGAAAC